AAAGATGGCGACTTTCACTGTTGTGCAGATCAACGAGTACGAATTGTGACGTTTCCAAGCTTTAGTTAGGTAATTTTCATGTTATTCGAAGATATCAAGGAGTCACCGACGGTAATCAGTGCAAGTCGCGCCCAGGTCAAACCTCATACTTGTGATTTCCATTTGAAAAGCGCATTGGATTGTGGGAAAACCAATGTTTATCAACATAAATGCCGCACATGCGCAGCGCGACGACTACCGCGCTTTAAGCCAGCCGCTAACAAAATTCGGTCGAATTCGTCGTTTTTGTGAAATTCCTTGCATACGAACACATAATTACACAAAGAACATAAAACACTTTCCCGGGGTATTTGAAACCGCCATTGTCATCTAACTGTAAGGCCGTCGCTGATTAGCTGCTGAGTTGAATAACAATTTTTTGTGCCTCTTTATACCTCTTTATTTAGTTTCACGCGGCCCCATATAGTAAATATCACATTTTGTTATTATCATTTATGGGCCCACTGACTATGGTTTAATCATACAACTTTGTCTTTGATCGCTGCTTAACGAATAATAGTTTTACATGATACAGCGTGGATATCTACCACTGTGAATGTGTTGTGAATGTGTAGACCACAGTAACCGTGCGTAAACTACGCTTCGATAATGACCTGTTTATAAAAGTGAAATGCGGTAAATACTTCATGCCATATTCAGTTTATCTATCAAAAATTGCTAGTTATCAGTTTTTGATAACTAGTTTTATTCGCCGAAATCAATTCCAACAGATTGTACTTCGACATCGATAAATCTGCATTGCGTTGCGTCCCAAAAGGGCGTCGGTACAACACAGCATACTGATTGTTAAACAGCAGACAAGATCATTAGGTCCAAGGTATTGACGCTGCAGGTCGGCGTTATTTCAACACCGATCTGACACATATCGCGCAATGAACGTTTCGAAGTCATTGGACGGTCGGCATGTATTTTACTGATATACTAAATTAGAACCATTGTAGAAATGAGCTGAGCAAAAAACTGTGCTCTCGGCAGTCAGTTTACACTGATAGTTCCTTGAATGGAGTGCGTTCCACGCGAGATTTTTTTTTTGCGTTTGAAGACGTTCTATTTCAGGCTAGTTGAAACCTGAAATTACGCGGGAAATTTCGAACTTCAATCACACATTTAATTGGCTTTAATTATGAAGTATCAAGTTCCGCATATAAACACTGGAGTAAAAAGGCGGCGAAGCGCTATTTTAGCCAAAAACGGTTAGTAAGGCGTCATATGACACAGGTCTGTGCTGAGACAGCGCTTCCTGTGACGACAGAACGGGTTCGGACGTTCTTACACGTCTAATCGTGCAAGAATGTATCATGGCGGAAAGGGCTTTTCATCGAGAGACTGCGTACGATCCAACACATCCGACAATGGAGATAATGATAAAGATTTTGACTTCGACTGTGTTCCAATAGACTCTAATATTTTTAACCTCGTAAATGGTAGCACGTAATTAATAAAATGTGCATATTTGCTTGTGACCATTTCAGTTTCTTCATACAATGACAAATTTCGTAATTTTATTTCCCTCAAAGACGTAATATCCCTCTCAAACTATCACATGGTGAATTAAAATTGTCATTTGCGCTCTTTTCCGAAGGGTGCTCGGGAATGCGCCCACTATTTTCTTTGATAGTGAGGACACTGGTCGCTAACGCGGTCGAATACTGTAAGTATCTTTCAAAGTCATCGGCACGAAAACAGGCACTGGTCCACCGATCACATTTCCCATTGTTTTTGGTTTTGGGATACGTGTAAAAAACACAGCATTCGTGTATTTCCCTAGATGAAATCAAGAATCGCTCTTGCATTCGCCATAACTCCCATTGTAGCGTTTTTGTACAGTCAATATTGTGAACAATGGCGCTGCAACCGTCTCTAGTCACTGGTTGCTAAGGACGTAAAGCTTGGCCACGCGAGATCTCGCAGTGAGCGGAATATGGCTTATGCCATTGTCATTATAATGCTGCTGTCAGATATATTTCATTTCCGAGTATGTATTTTCCCAAAAAATCTATAAATTATTCTATGAAGTGTGGGCTAAAAGGTGTGTCTCAATTGGTATAATGGATCCCGAACATTAAAAGTGTTGTGGTTAGATCTACCTGTATCCTCGGGGGTGGACATTCGGGCATTTTCACCGCCTGGCAACCCTCGCGGTGAGAACAAAGGCCAAAAACCTGCCAAAAACAGTACTATGTGATGGTTGTTGAGACTCCCCTGAACAGTGTAACAAGAATAGCTCTACGTGTGTAACATATACAAATTTGGTTGTGCAGGATTACTTCAAAGTTTAGTTTGAGTTGTTTTCTCGAAATTTCACCGGCTCGACCGGCCTTCCACAGCAGCGCGCACAGAACCCAAATAAATGCATGTACAGTGGTGCGCGTCTTAGCAACGTGGAAGTTCTTGTGACGTAGCCACCCCCCGCGAGGATATGTTTCACTGAATGAGATTGCGCCCTCAAGCATATGTTTAATATCGTCGTTGGATGGCGCAATTCGTGATTGGTTCAAAGGCATAATTCTCGTACCATACACAGGAAGTATTCCATTATGGAATATTTGAATTATTTACTGCATATTATAATTTTGGTAATAAAATGTGCATTTTAAACAACATCCCAGGAATCATAATCTCCATTTGGATACTGTGTAGTAACATGCACGTAATATATATTGAAAATGATATTGTATATTCTGCACATATGAGTATTATATTATTATACCTCATAGCACTATTAGCCGATTAGATTCGCCCATATGGCGGTCGATATATTTGCATATTGATTTCTCAATGGTCCGAATTCAGTGTGCTCTTTTTATCTATGTGCGCGCGTGCACGTCGTGTTTGAACGTCACGGCTTCTGAAATGTCGACCGTTGCTAGATGATACCTACGAATATTTTTAATTTGACAGTAATTTTAGGAAGTATTATGGAATATAAATACACACGAGCCATTGAAAATAAAACTTGCGAATATAATATACTACTCAAAACAATTTAAGGAACACTTGAATATTCTGAGTTACAGAAAGATCCTTTATTTCAGATAAACCCATTTGGTCACATAATTAACGTGAAACATCTGAACAATGAAACAGATGATAAGGACTGCATGTAATCATTACACATTTCGTTACATAAGTTCTGAAAGAGAGAAGGGTTGAAAATAAAAATCCCAGTTCATGGAACAGTTCAATAATGGGCGTGACCACCTCTTGCACAACGTCGCTTCATGGATGTCACTAATCTCTGCAGTGAACGTTGTGGTATCGCTTGCCAAACTGGTTGTGCTGTCTGATGGTGGCATCAGAGAAGCGTTCACCAGGGCGTCTATAGACAAGAATACGACCACATTGTTCTTCAAAGCGAATCTTCACTCATCTGTGAAGACGACAGAAGACCACTGTCGACGTGTCCAACGAATGTGCTGTCCAGCCCAGTCTCAACGAGCAGTTATGTGGTATGGGAGAAGGACTAGCCTGGCGCCTAGGCCTGACATTTCTGGCCCTCAGAAGGTTCCGCACAGTCTGATCACTCGCATCGGTATGAGTTGCTGCTCTGAGGGTCCTACGTAGGGAATTGGCAGTTACGGTTCGGTTACGAAGGGCTGAGATGAGGAGGTTACGGTCCTCAGCAGGAGTTGTGACACGTGGACAACCTGACCTGGGTCTGCCATCATGTACTATATGGGTTTCTCTGAAGCACTGGGATAGTCTGTGAATAACAGATGGGGTCACATTTAGCTTTCTTGCAGCTTCTCGCAAGGAAACACCCTCATTCAACCAGCCTATGGCCCTGTCTCTCTCTTCAATTGTCAATTGTCGACGTGGAGGCATGCTTGCAAAAGCTGCGACAATGCCATTATTGAGTGCATTCTGATTACCATAATTGGAAGATGTGATCACAAGGTTGCATTATGTACTCGGAAAAAACTCAACATTCTTCGAAGCATAAGAATTAGAGCAGATGTGTGATGAGCAATGTTCCATCTTTTCACCTAATTTTCCCCTGAAAGAATACGTAACTGTGAAATTGAGGGCCACCTATTCTCATCTACTGTGGTAATATTGGCTTTACATGACATCATTTAACATGATCCATACTTATTTGATGTAAAAAATTCAGGTGTTCCGTAAATTGTTTTGGGTAGCATATTATTTAATATATCCTAGTAAAAAGAGCATATCGAAAAAGTTAGTGTGCTGTATTTCGAATAAATAATATATGTAGATATGTATTTTTGTTTCATATTTTACAACTAACCATACTCTAGTGATGGGTAAACGAGGAAATGTCTAAAATCAGTCGAACATTGTTGATCATACAAGCAAACATTAAATAGAAAGCTAGCCTGCAGAGGGGTGGACACTTTTCTAGAATTATTGTGTGTTGGCGCAGTCTAACTGTCATAAGAGGTATTTTGTTAAAGGCCATCTGCAAAACAATTTGAGTACGAAGGAGTACTAATAGAGCGGGTCTGTGTGATAGCGCCACCTTGATGTGCTCATACGCAAGTCGATATTAAATAGAGAATCAAAAAATATAGCAGCATCATAACGAAAACAAATGCAATCTAGCTCAATTTTGTTTATAATGTTGACTCCAAAAACGATGTTATCTCTATTTTCATAATATATATTTATACATGTGCCAAGAAACATTGACACTGAACGTGAAATACTATTTTTCAGCTCAACGCCCATGGCCACTATTGCGGATTTCTGTCAAAAGAATGAAACATGTATTATACTAAACACAATTCACCAAAATAAAATATGACATAAAAGATGCATTTAACTACAAACTTAACTGCATTTAATGAATGAAATATAGTTTGTATATAACAAAAGCGTTTAGAAATAGAGATTATTAAGCACAAGAATTAGTTCTACGAATGAAATATGAAAAATAAGAAAGGAAATTGTGTTTTATATTTTCAAATACAACTTCAGTTGGTGTATACAAGTATTGTGCAACCAATTTTGTTGTTGAAAAGCGGTAAATAATCTGACAAGAAGTTGGCTTGCAGTATAAATATGATTTAAAGATTTGACTGCCAGTCAATCAAATAGAACAGTATGAATTACATTCAAATACTCGCATTGATGTTCATTTAACTGGCTCTGACACTTGTTCACACAAAATTAATTGAGATGATCTGTTGCTATGTACATTGGAACCCTTTACTACGTAGTCGACGGGGGCGTGGTCACAATACTATATCATTCGTGTTACTGGCCTGATACGGCAGCTATAAGTTATTCATCAAGGTAATAACAATGTCCATATTTGGGCATCGTACCACCATGCGTTATTGTCTGAGGTGGTACGTCACACACCGTTCACAAATCTGACGCAATAAGTTATTGTAACGTGTTAACATGCCTCTCACAAATCTCAGATAGACTGTGCTAAAATCAATTCATTAAATTTAACACCATTGGAAATGATGTTCCATTGTTTATATTTATTTATTTATTTAATTAACTACATGAATACATGTAATCGTAAAATTATATCACAAATATGGGATGTGTACACATGCTTTTTAACGGTTTTCATCACATTCCTTCATCGTATTGGTTTGACCAACAAAGACCCATCTAAAAAAGTAGAAAGTGCCACATTTTCATCAGCGAATTCTTGTTAAATTAAATAATTTGCTCGACAACCTCACATTATACATTAACTCTACCCATGTTAAGAATATAGTCACCCCTAAAGAGTATGTTTTAACATAAAGAAAATATTTATGTTCATGCCTCATTTTGCTAGATGTCTCCGTCAGATTATGAAGCTTGTCTTTTGATTTGTCCATACTGTTATCAACGTCTTTCATCTAACACTTTTCGTGATATTTATTAGCCATTGCTCTGCCATTTTTGGGATATATGACACTAATATGTCTCAACTTTGCCAGATGTTTTTCCCAGTAATGAATGCACCGACGCCCGGAGACTTATCATTTCCATATCCACCTGTATGGTGAACAAATTCTAATACTCTGCATTTGAAACAATGTCGACCTTTCTGTTGACATTTCGGTGGGAATTAGTCTTGCTCCATTAATCTTTATGAATGATGTATATTGATTGTCCATCCTAGAGTGTTGCTACTTCTATTCTAATATATCTATCAGGGTTAAAAACATTGTTTATAAAATGAATGTGTTGGATACTAATTACTACTGTAATGTCACAAGGATGGGATATTACTCATATGTATATTTAAGTGATGAATATATTAATAACCTAATAGAGTCTGTCTAATCATTTAATTAACACAAGTAAGGCAGATAAACATACGAGTTACAGTGTGCAAACATTTCAATGAAAATACTGTATCTCCAACACAACAAAACGTCAGCATAAATAAAGCCATAACAGCAGTTTACTTCAATTCAGTAAAGGCATTCTGTCTTCTGCTATTTTTCTTGTATGCAGAACATTCTTAAAATTCAGTGATTCCCCTGCAACACGGCGGCGGATGAAGTGTGGAAATAATAATAAAGTGCAATGGAATAGATCGCACTTTATTCAGATGCCCATTGTAATTAAGTACATAATTCGGAAGCATATGTTTTGGTATACTAAATACATGAATTAGAAATACTTTAAATTTGATACCTCATATTGAATAAAATAACCAACCAATGTAACCTTATGCTGACTAATCACTACACTATACCTTAATTAGATGTGATGAGATATATGCAACATCATCATATGATTTGTCATATAAACGACACTGTAACAGTGAAATATTTAACAAATGTTTGTAGCAACATTGTTAGAGATTTTACACAATGGTATATTAGTGATTTTCTAGCTTCAAACAATGTTCACATAAATGGAAACAGAATTACAACAATGTTCAGGTAATGGGAAACGCAAAACTATATGCAGATGTACATGTTCAATTGTGAAATGATGTGAATGTCATTTGCTGACAGCTACTGCATTTTTGTAAATCGAATATCGTGTTATTTTTGCTGGTTCTTGATTTGTTTCTTGCACCCAACACATACATAATGTGGTTTTCTTGACGTCGGCTGCACGCGAATTACTCGTGCGATTATTTAACTGCAGTCAAATATAAACAATCCTTGTTATTAAAGTAGTTGAGCGTCAATGTAAACATATGTGGTTTGATCTCATAGTTATGTACTATATTTAAACAAAATCACGAAATCTAGTTCTAAAAACCCTTGACGTATACGAGTCAGCCAATTACTTGAGTAAAACAAAGAAATTTTAATACAAGCATATCACTGATCCACGATGTACGTAAAAAATGAATGTCAAAAGAATGTTGTGATTAATATAGTGTGAGTCTGTAAAGCTGGGATTGTCAATCAACCAAACAAAACTTAGATGAAATGTATTACTCTCAAAAATAATGATTTGACAATGAATG